CTATTTGATCTTCTATTTTCATATTTTTTGTCAACATTTATTTATTTATTTGTTTGTTTGCTTGTTTAAGCAATTTATATGGCTGCCCAACTCACTCATAGTGACTCTGGGTGGCTTACAGGAATAAAAATCCCAAATGCAAAACCCACTATACAACCCACCCCCCCCCCCCCATGGTGACAACAACACATTTTGACTAGCCAATTGATGGGCTTTGGGTCAACCTGGGATCCCCAGGCCTGCTGACAAAACCATGTCTTCAGGGTGTTGCAGAAGGTGGGAGCCAGTCTTATCTCTGGGAATGATGTTCCACAGGGAGGGACCCACCACAGAGAAGGCTCTTATCTTAAAACCTATTAGCATATCAAAGTCCTTTAGCTTTCCCTTTAATGTTTTTGCTCCCTCTAATAGAGCTTCCAAAACTATCACCTGGTCATCTGCAAATGCCCTTAATTTATAAGTTTCCTTTTTAATCCTGAGTCCCGCGATTCTCTCATCTTGTCTTATGTCACTATTCAATACCTCAAGCACTAAAATGAACAAGAGTGGAGACAGAGGGCATCCTTGTCTTGTCTCTTTTTGAATCTCACAAGGTTTTATTAGTTCTCCATTATCAGTTGTGATAATGTACTTTCTGTGAGGTATAAATCAGTCTTACCCATTTAATAAAATTATCTCCAAGGTTCATATATTCCAGAACACTAAACAAGAAAATCCAGTTCAAATTGTCAAAGGCCTTCTCTGCATCTAAGATCAGTGCAGCTTGTTTTTCACTGTGTTGCTCCAAATACTCCAGAATATTCAGCACATTTCTAATATTATCTCATAATTGTCTTTTAGGTAAAAGCCCACATTGAACTCCATGAATAAAGTCCTGTAAGATTATTTTCAGCCTTTCAGCCAAAATCATGGTAAACAATTTATAGCCATTATTCAATAAGTATATTGGTCAATAATTTCTTCTTAAAGTCGAGTCCTGGGCCTCTTTAGGTATTAGGTATGCTATATTAGCCTCTTTCTAGCTGCCAGGAATCTTTCCATTCTGTAAAATAATATTCACTGTTTGTTGTAAAGGTTGTAAAAGTTCATCCTCAAAACATTTATAGTCAGAGGCCGGCAGACCATCTGGACCAGGTGCCTTTCCTGTTTTAGTCTTTTTAATAGCTTTACAAACTTCCCTTATTGTTATAGGTCCATTCAAAATTCATTAAGATTATTCTCAAAAAATTCTTTTAACTTCTTTTTGTAATCCTCCACTATCATTTCTTTTTGCAAGAACATCTCATTCAATCTCCATCCTCTGACAACTGGCTGGACTTATCCCCAGAGGTCAGGGGAAATCTAAATAAAAGAAGCCAGGGATTTTGTTTTGGGATTCAGGTTATCTTTACAAAAATGGTAAATCTTTAGGCAGATTGATTGATTATGTGCCATCAAGTCATTTTCAACTCTTAGCAACCATAACTATCTATTTCTCCATGAAGATCTGTCCCCAGCCTGGTCTTTCAGTCATCCAATGGTGCTGTCCACCTTGCTGCTGATTGTCCTCTTCTTCTCTTTCCTTTCGTCTTTCCCAGCACTGGAGCCCAATGTCCTCACTGTAGGTCTGTGCCAGGTGGATCAGTGAATCAATGTCTTGTTCACTCTTAGCATACAGCTTGATGTCATCCATATAGAGGGGGTGGCTGATGGTAATTCCATTCTTGAACATATCCTTATCCGGTCCTTGTGATTATCTGGCTGAGGGGGTTCAAGCCTATGCAGAACAGCAGTGGGGACAATGCTTCACCATGGTATATGGCGCACTTGATGGCCACTTGTGCGAGCTATCTTGAGTTGACTTCCAGTGTTGTCCTCCACAGTCCCACTGAGCACCAGGCATTCACAGATCCATGTGTGTGTCATTCTTCTCTTCTCTAGTATATCTCCTTAGTCTGGTAGCCAGTGCTGTGAGCCTTTGTTTAGCAGTCTCTAGGGTTTCAGGTGGAGTCAGGCCCTTGTATTTTTTCAGTAGCTGAGTCTTATCCTTAATCTCCATACCCTTCTGTAGTTCACCAGCTGACTAACTTCTCTCTGAGTTGCCTTGATCTTAGCCTCCAACCTCATTTTCTGGGGTGCAGGGGTATGTACTGCTGTTCTTCTTGATCATGTAGACAAGCATCTCCAGGATTACAGCTCATTTGTTTGAGTTATGGTGGTAGTAGTCTGTCATGAGGACTCTATTGGCATCTTCTAGCATAATATCTGATGGTACTTCTCCACTGAACCTTGCTAATCAGTATCGAGGGTTGACTGTAGCTAATTTATCCATGATCTTATGCCTCATATCAGCTGCCATGCTTTGTAATGGAGGGGGTGGCAGTGATATTCCAGCTTCAGGTGTTGGCTGCACATCCAGTTGTTTTTCTAGGTCTTCTTGAGTCTGGGATATAATGTGTGCTTGGTGTATCTCAAATTGTAAGAGCAGTTTCCTCTTCACTATGTTGAAGCATTGGGCAACTAGCTGTTTCTCTGTTAGTGTGGATGTAGGTCTTCTGTCCATCCATAGTTCCCTCATACATTTCATATATCCCCTCTCATTAGGTGTACTGTTGT